TCTGGCTTGATGAATGCTATCTTGCTTGATAAATCCCTTCCTTCTTATTGCCTTATTCAACAAAGGGTATAAGACTTCTCTCATCCCACTACCGCACTATCCATGTCTTATTCTTAGACTATTATACCTGCTCCAAGATGATAGATCGGATGAAAACAAGAGAGAAGGAGCTGCTATTGAATCCGGTCTTAGATGGTTGGAAGACAGAAGCAATAGCATGATAGGAATAGCAGATTTAATAGAGATGACATCACAATAGGATGAAGACGAGACTTCTTATCTGCTTTCACGTGGAAATGGGATAATGTCAAAATGCCTTTGAAAGGCAACTAGTCTTGATGCCAGTCTGGTTCAAGGACACAAAGAGCTCAGTTCGTTAGACGCTAAATTCTCAAGACTTTCAGAGGAAGAAGAGAAACTGGAGGTTGAGATCCAGCGTTTGATTGCCAAAAAAGAGGAGCTGCTTGATCACAAAAACTCAGTTGCTTCTCAATTTGAAAAGACCAATGAAAAGGTATCTAAGGATCTGGCAGAATGGAAAAACTTGGAAGAGGAGATCAAACGAGCAGATGACAACTGGTATGGGGGAAAAGAGAGACTAGCTCAAGCCAACACCAGTTGGCAACTTTTCAAGGAGCGCTTGGAGCTGTAAAAGCTTTCAAATTGAATTTATAAGGGTTGGATTTCAATTCATGTAACTTTACTTCGATTTTCCCTTTCGAATCAGAACTTCCCTCAGTCTTCTCTTCATTTGGCTTTACCGCCACTTACACTGGGCCAACTTCACTCGAGTCAAACTTGGCCTCACGGAAGTTTGAACAAGCGGGTGAATCAAAAGCTTTCTTCAACTGGGTCTTTTTTGGTCTCTTAAACTTTGACTTCCCATTTTCTGTACTGCATCGTTCAAAAATTTACCACAGTCTGCTTTTCCGGAGAACTCCCTCCCTTTTGATTTGAAGACTTTCTTGCTTGCCGCCGGCTCAAGCTACAGTCTATCTCCTACCCTATCCTCCTCAATGGATCTCCGCATGGCTAGTTCCGAGGTACAAATGGCATTCGACCCCCTCTCCCCGTATATATTTGTTTTGTGCATGGAGAGACTCTCACAGGCGCAAGGCAGTGGATTTTGGGGCCTGGAAGCCAATTCATATGGGAAGAGATGGGCCGAAGTTATCTCCCCTCTTCTTCGCCGACGACCTTATTCTCTTTGCGGAGGCAAGGTTAGACCAAGTGCAGATTATCTCGGAGTGCATTGCTGCTTTTTGCGCTAGTTCCGGGCAGAAAGTGAGTGATTCTAAGACCAGAATCTTCTGCTCTCGTAATGTTCCCGCTTCCTTAGCCAATCGGTTGAGTACTGGTTTCGGATTTTAATTGACTAACAACTGGGCGGGTGCGGGGAGATCCATTTTAACCTGTCTGAGCGGAACTCAATCCAATAGGTAAGTTAACTTGCTTTGGTGGGTACGGAGCTTCTCCTTGTCTTGGCCCATGCTTCCCATCCATCGACTCAGGATTTGAATCAAAATCGGATACTCTTTTTTGTGGTTGGATTGAGTTCCGTCGAGATCTTCCACCCCAGTATTAGCATATCGCCCTTCTCAAAGCCATCGGATTGGGATTAGCTAGTAGAATGGTTCCATAGTCCTGTCATTCATTGATCCTGGCTGGGTCTATAGATAGAGCAAAGGAAGAAGTCGCAACAAAGAGCAGCTTGACTGCAGCTCCACGGTCTGTAGATCTGATAGTTGCCTTTCTTTTTGGTTTGAGGAAAAAAAATCAGAAAGATTAGAGGCTGCCTTAGATTGCCCGTAAAGCATGCCACTAGTGGTTTACCATGAAGGGGCTTCAAGGTTCCTATCTTGGAGAGTCCGAGACCTTCTCCTAGGCACTTCTCGGAGGCAACTGGACTCTCTTTGATGACCTCTTCACAGAAAATGGAGAGATTCATTGGATCCTAGGTCGGGACTGACGGGGCTCGAACCCGCAGCTTCCGCCTTGACAGGGCGGTGCTCTGACCGATTGAACTACAATCCCAGGAAAATTAGGCGCCTAAAAATTCTTATATTCTTTTTTCTCATTGGATTTCATTCGAACTATTGAGTTTCGCCGTGTTGTAACAGAGACACGAATGATATTATATATTTATATAATTTATTATAAATTAAAAAAAAATGCAGTGAACTCTAGTGGGCTAATTCATGAATTGAATCATGACGACTATATAAGCTATTCTGATATTAAGATTCGATATAGATGAAATCGTGGAAGCGGATCTTTGATTTCCTTTTTCCACGTAAGAATTCGTCGTCCGATTGAATCTTCTTGTTCCTGGATGCTCCATAGGAATCCATCGCTATTCCTTTCCTCCATCGAGAAAGGTTCATTTCGAATCACAAGAGCAATCTCTCTTTTTTGAATTCATTTTTCTTTTCGTTATGGTAATGCAATGCAAGAGGTCGGAAATCAAGTTGTTTCTGATGATGAAAAGAGCTTTTTTATGTTATGTGAAATTGATGAAACCCCGATATTTAAAGGTCGGTTTTGTTAGAAGACGACTGTCGGTATCTGATGGTAAGATACCTATGGTCGGTATATCTTTGAAAGCTCAGACGGGGAGAATAAACTGACTCCTCGAGGGCTACTTAAGGCACTTTAGTGCAAACCAGAAGGACTGGAGTTGTTGGATGTTGCTCAGTGCTGCTATAACTTAACAACCAAAAAGCTCTGCCTCGAACTTCAGCCCCTTCGAGTTGGTCATGGGGCAACAGCCTCTGACGCCCCACACCATTGCGAAAAGAGGGGGCTTGCCCATCAGCCTACTTTGCCAAGAGGTGGCAGGATCGCAAGGACCTAGCCCAAACCTTACTCTTTATCCGGTTCCTCTTGTCCAGAGAATACCCTTGTGGAATACCCTTCGACTTACCTAGATTTTAGAAAGATCGAAAAGTCTTCCCCAGAAAGCTCAAACGATCTACTCTAATGGTTACGAGCCAAGTCGAGGTGCTTTACGCTTCCTTTCAAGAATACCTTTTCGCATTCGATAAGTGTCCTTGTCTAAGTGGGGTAGGAAAGGCAAGTTACCCCCCTCAATCTCCCTCGGGGGAGAGGTAAGAAGCCTCGGACACCATTAGCCTTTCTTGGTACTCTTTCTTCACTTCAAGACATCCAAAGAAGTTTCTCGGCTAATCTAATAAGCCATTAAAGCCCCTCAGAACTCTTCTTCTTATCAGCGCGACGGCTGAAAGAAAGATTGTGCATCGGCCACCAAACATCCAGGGCAACAGGTATTCTTTCACCTGCCAGGCAAGCCATCTATATTGGATTGGCATAACCTTATTATATGCCATCTAGCTTCATAGCCGGTAGTTTCCGTTGATCGTTATCTTCATCCATCGGACCTTTTTGTCTTCTTTTCTTCAATGACTGCTTCTTCTTATGCTTGCCCTCGTTCTTCCCTCTTCTCCTTGACTATGAGATTATTCCCGGCTGATTGGGAAAAGGGGGCAGTTACTCTTGAGCCAAGAATTGGGCGTAGATTAAAAACCAGGGTCTACCCTTGGGAATGATAGAACTTCATTAGAATGCCTGGAAGCAGCCAATCTGATTCTTTATCACTCAACTGAGGAAGTGAAACGAGCAGAACTTCCCCTAGGAATAGGGATTTCTCATTCAATGAGACTAGTCCTTGTTTGGAAAGAGTCTTCGATGAAGAAGACTCAGGGAATCAATCCGCAAACTCCTAGAAAAAGAACTCTCTGAAAAGTCTACCTAAATAGTGAAGAAAAGAACACATCGAGGTAGGTAATGAAATGAAAATAGGAGCGGAAGCCGAAAGGCTAGAGAAAAGAGAGGCTCTTCCGTCTGTTGTCATAAGTCTTGTTGACTCAGCCGGGAGTGAAAGAGATTCTGATTCAAGTTCTCTATAGTCAGTATCCGTAGCTAGGACTGGTAGTGAAATTCAAAGGATCGCTGCCAAAGGAGGGATGATAGCAGCCCGCTGTAAGCCGGAAGTGACCTCGGGAGGAGTAAGTAGGAGGGGCGTCGGAATTCTAGTTGCCCCTCATCCCATGACGAAATGTAGAGATCATTTCTTTGTCGGACGAAATCGATTCGACCGGCTGCTTTTTTTCTTTCTCTTTATCCTTGGGCTGGAGCTTCCTTCGCCTTCGTCTTCAGTTCTGTATTTCAAACAAAGCAAAGTTAAGGCAAGAAAAAAAGAATAAAATACGAATGGATTGCATTCGATAATAAGTATACCAATAAAAATTCTAAAGAGAACCTGAACTGGCCTCCCGAAAGTTGGCTCAAGAGAGTTCTTTACGGCCCTATCATACATAGGCATATCTCTTCCTCTACTTTTTTTTGAGAATGGCGGTATCACCGTCTACAGGTCGAGTCACCCCCTTCGCTAGCTCTGAAACAAAGGAGGCAGATACGTGAATGAAGTGAGATCTTGGAACAAGGGCAGTGGGCGTAGGGTTTGATCTTTCGCACCGAAAGGACCCGGTCAAGAGCCCCCATTTAAGGAGCGCGCGGGACTCCATTTTTAATTCTAAGGTAAGCCATTCCCGAGGAAGACTTCGTGCAGTATGGAAGCTGCTACGTGGAAAAGGTCCATAGGTAAGAGAAAGAAGGCTCTTCCTCTCCCAACAATGGAAAGCAATGAGAGAAAGGGCTTGACGGTACCAAAATCTGGGATTTGTTGCTGCACATGAGACCGCCATTCAGCAAAGCATGGGAAATGGACTGCATTTGGCACATAACTGAAACCGCCGGCGCGCCATACGGCCTGGAAATATGGTAAAAGGAATAGAAGGGGTTCCACTGATTCTTCCTCATGATCACAAAGCAAACATCAAGAGGAGGGCGTCCTTCGGAATAGATTCATCTGTGTTGCCAAAGCATGACGACATGCCCTCCATATCAAGTTTCTAATCTTGGGATGAGCTTTTCCAGCCCGCTTCCAAAGCCCACTATCCTGACTACCCAAATGAGATGAT